TGTGGACGAAAGGTGCAAACGCATAGAAAAATCTGTGTTTTCAAAAATACCCGGGTACGTGTGGACGTAGCCGCAACCAGTCAAAGACCCAGAAGGCACTGTGCACTGTGATGACCTTCATAGGTCAGAAATTGTTGGAAACATTTAGAAACACAGAAACAATGAAACTAACTTGTGTGTTTTCAATGGTGTGATACAGTAGAAGAGGATATTTAGAGCTTATTAAGGCCCACATGTTACAAAAGTCAGGACTCCATTGAAAATCATGTGCAGCACAGAAAAATGCATTTGTGGGTTGGAAGTCCTGCCAACAAACAAAAGGACTCGAGAGTTATTTAGAAGTTAATTAGCAGCAAAAGGAAGCCCAGAGACATGCAGGGAGCCTGTTTAGTTCCCTCTCATGTTCCCATGCTGAAAGCTCACACAATGGTTGTGTTCTGGTTTTGCACCGTAATTAAACAGGGGAAAAACCAACAGCTGCATCGGGATTTTTGTGAGGCACCTTCCTGGGAAAGCAAACTACAAGCTGAGCTTCAATTTAGGAATTATTCATTTCTCTGGTACCAAAATCCACGTGTGAGAATTTCAGACACTAATGATCATCTTGAAGATTAAAGCTTCAAATGGTCGATGATGGTCAATAACCAGTGATGGCAAAAGTACGGTCACTATTGCTTTGGTCAGTATTTTAAACTAGATTAACACAATTACTTATTAATATAAGCATTCAGGTTTCAAACTCATAAACAAGCTTTTACACTGGACTGTAGTGCAGTGTGTCCTTCAAAGAGATGAGAAAACTGAAAGCAGACAGAGATCCAGCAGTGGCCTGACAGAACAGCACTAATTCATAAATAACACATTCATCTGTTGTTCTTAAAGAAAACAGAACGAAACGCTGGGATTTGCCACACAAGAGCTGGACTGAAAACGTGGCAACAGGTCTGATAGAGCGATGAATGAAATGTGAAATTTGGCCTCAAATCGCTGCCTGTATGTTTGGAGGTCAGTGGGGTACAGTTAGGTCCATACATGTTTGGACAGACATCGTGGTTCTGTACATTACCACAATGATGAAGTGCTGACCTTC